ATTATTATATTGTTATTTCAAATAAGTTTCATATTTATAGTAGTGGAGCCCAAGAGGGGATTTTTGTAGTTACTCAAGCGCGGCAGATTAACATAAAAGAGGTTACCTTGCACTCTATTGAGTACTTTCACCATAATATAAGTCTTCTATATAAAGGCGCGCGTCTAGGGAAGCCGATCAAAATATTTAAAAAATGTTTTGATAAGGTAGAAATACTTGAAACCGTCAGATTAAGGTGTGGTAGTGAAAAGTGTCCAATTCAATAATCTGCCGATTTGCACAAGCCGAAGAGGCAAAAATCGACTATAAAGTTTATGATGATTTCAAGTATTTCTACCTTATCCAAACATTTTTAAATATTTTGATCGGCTTCCCTAGACGCGCGCCTTTATATAGAAGACTTATATTATGGTGAAAGTACTCAATAGAGTGCAAGGTAACCTCTTTTATGTTAATCTGCCGCGCTTGAGTAACTACAAAAATCCCCTCTTGGGCTCGCCTACTATTATATCGACATTTCAATATACAACATAAGATTTTCTAACCTTGTTTGATACTCGTAGCTTTTCCTTAACCTGTTTTGACAGCATCCGCTCTTAGATTATACGAGATAGAAATGTTCTTATTACTTTCTATATAATATTCCTAACAAGAATATAAAATATTGATTTGTAAATTCCATTCAAATATTTTCAATTTATTTCTCGGCTTTCATTTCTTATTGTTCGGCCTAAAGATTTGTTTTTTAATATATTTCTTAGTTCTTTTTATTTGTACTCTACTGCTTTATAAAACTTTATACTTTGTCACTCGAAATAGTTCACTTTGAATTTTCCATAATAATATCGTCCCACAACATTATGCATGAAATTTATTCACTGTTTCACATTATTTACACCCTAGTGATTCTATGAAGGTCAAAGCTGACACGCTGTGTAAAGACAATGCTTCGATGAAAGTGTGCGATAATAGTATGTTTGTATAATATTTATGTGTGCATGACTAAGAAGTCTGATTTTAAAGGAAATTAATATTTAAAAATGCCATGACTTATAATTATTATGATAAATCCTCTAGCCGTGCCGCGGCTCGTGATAAATCGAAAGGTGACTTTAACTCTCACAAAGGTCAAATATTTTACGGTCTAGTTAAGTAAAAACGCATCATTTAAGCTAATGACCGTGTTTACGCTACCACAAATTGTGAGTGTGAAATCATTATAATTATTTTGTCTAGAATAAGGGACATAAAACGTGAAGTATAACCAACCAAATTTTATTCAGAAATATTGCCTAATTAAGTGTGTAGACAGTTTCTATTTGAAAACAAATTTCTTAGGTAACAAACACGGAATACGTACATCACGTTGGAAATAAAAAAATGTTGCCTATTTTTGTTTCAATTTTCTCCTTCTTATGTGTAGGTATTGTGAGTCTTTGAATTATTCACTAGCTTCTATTCTTGAAGAAACTTATAAAAAAAACATTACATTCAGATTTGAATATATTGAAAAGTGTTTGCTGCGGAAATTGAATGGTGAATCGTTGAAATAGATGTAGGAGCTTTCAGCGATGTTATTCTTTACAAATGCATCTTTTGTAATATAGGTATTTTATTGAAGAAAACCTACTATAAAAATATTCTTACCTGTAAAATGTATATATATAAATTATAAAGTGCCTTGTTTCACCAATGCAACGCACAGCCATAGCCTATTTTTGTGATATGGGTAAACGATAGAAATATTTTTTTTTAAATTCATCTTTTAAATGATGAAGGGATGTCAAATTTTATAGGGGAAAAGGGTTGCTTTTTATAAGAAAGTAGCTAAGTAAAAGTAATTACTCTAAAAGCTATATGTAGATTTTAGAATAACTTTAATAATATTTTCATTGGCTATGCTCCAGAATTAAGATAATATTAGATGATGTTGCAAAATTTCACAGCATTACTTTGCTTTAATTAAATCATAATACTTAAGACAAACTGTAAAAAACATTTTTCGAACCCATTTTAGAAACGAACTTGCGAACCCAAGAAGAAACTAGACATACATACATATGTATGTATGTATCTATTTTAATTTTGTATAAAGTATAATTAACATCTATTAAACATATCTCTTAATCGGATTCGTACAATCATATCATCAGAAACGACAACGGGCACACGAATGCTAATAAACACGTCTCAGCCTCCATTTACCATTTAACGAATAAAAGTGGTCTGACAACTGTAGCTTTCTTATCTCGTATATTATAGTTTGAACATTACAGATAACGCACTACTTGAGTTCGAAGAAGTAATTAGTTTTGATCGCATGCTTTTAAATACGATTTGATCTAACATATCAATCAAACTGAACGAGCACTCTAATATTTAAGATGTGAGATTCTGACGCTTTGGCATTCGATACAAATGACTGTGTCTATGCAAGACTTTATCAGTACATATTCGTACAATCATAGAAACTTTTTATAAGATATAGCTTCATAATATAATACGAAAAGGCGTTAACAGTTCAAGTAGTTGCGCTTTTAAGTTTAAAACAAATAGGTGTCTATTAAAAAAAATGTAATTATAATATTATAAAATAGCGTACGCTCAGTAGGTCAAAGAAATAGTTAGGGCCGAGAAGAAGCGCCCCTGTCGCTAAAGCTCAGTGGGCCGTCACAATCTTTAGTGGGACAGGTTCTATTCACATCTCGTCACACCACTACACGCTTGCCATAACGTACGCGTTAATAATGTCAACATTTTTTTATTTCTGCTTATAAATAAATTTTTAGCTTCTACAAGTGCCAAGGTATGAAACATACTTATAAATACCACACAGTTGATTTCGTCGATATAATAAAGCTTAGAAATCATGCACCGATTCTATTTTGTACGGCAGAAAATAAATAGCTTAAGATAGTTATGCATATTGTCAAGAATGATTCATACTTTTAGATACCTCTGTATACTGCCAATACACTGATGTTTGTTTAACTTTATGTTTGTCCATTTAAATAAAAAAACTTACCTAGTGTTTTCAACGGTTCTCTTTTATTTATTTTTTATATTTGTTATTCGCACAGTATGTTTGAACAAAGAGTATCCGATAAAAATTGTTAAAGGCAAATTTTTGGTTGATTTCCATTTTGCGGGTTTCGAAGGGTCGATTGTCAAATGAAATGAGTATTTATTTAATTAGTTTGAACTGAACTTCGTACCTAACTTAACTAACGAGTTTTCAGGAGCTTTCACAGTTATTTTGTTTTTACGCAATTCAAACACATGAGAACTGTGCTGCTAGTCCCCCACATGCTTTTCAGAAGTGTTTTAAAGCGTTGTGTTCAAAGGAATATACTTAAAAATAACATATTTCTGTTTGCCGTATTTGTCAATTATTTATATTTCAGTTATAAAAATTCACTTTCCAGAAAATATTTTAAAATAAGTATTCTAAAAGTCGATTTCAACTTTTGAAAATTTTCAAGTATGTGAAATTCAGGAAACCACACAATAATTCAATACCATCTAACTGAAATATTGATGGAGCCAAGTGGCGGATAGTGGAATTCTTCAGAAGCTACAAGTAAAAACTTCCAGTATGTGCCCATTGGATTCGTTTTGTAGTCCCATACATGATAGTCAAAAGCGTGTTATTTTACGTATTAATACACTTTTTGAATTCTTTCATAAGCTTAGTACACTGTGACATAATAATATGTATTTCACATTGAATGTGATAAAACATCATAAATTATTCATATTCGGTGACCACGATTGGCTGACTTAGCTCTATGTCTATAATTCTAATCAGACATCTAATAAATCAGGCACGCCAGCTCTATCTGTGTTCATATACGAAGTTAGGTATTTTTATGTATATCATCATCATGATCATCAAAGATTTTAAAGAGAAATATAAATATTTAATTACTAGCGACACACCCTCGTTTCGCTTCGCTAGACGAAAAGAAATCTATCCCACGGGAACCGTCCTTTCTTCCGAGACAAAAAGTAACCTATGTGTTATTCCAGACTATAATCTACCTTTGTGTCAAATTTCATCCAGATCCGTCCAGCCGTTCTAGCGTGAAATAATAACAAACATCCATCCATCGTCACAAAAATTTCACATATTAGTATGGATAATATATATTTATGCATGCATAGGTTTTTAAGAGTAAAACACTATAACGCTTACTCGATAAATGTATAATATACTCGTACATATATAAATAACTATAAGGTATACTGAGCTCATATAGCTAATTGTACGATACGAAACCCTACAAAAGTCATAAAAGATATTTATCACGTGTTTTTCCCACTAGTAGGTAGAGAATTTAATCTAGAACAATAGTTTATTTATTATTTATAGAACGGACAAAATAGGCGGTTACTCATGAAAATATCTGTCATATTACGCAAACAACTATTAGGTATATTTATTAAAGTTACACTATTAATACTTAAAAGAACCAACTGAAAACTAAAATTAACTTTAATATAAAATTAATTATTTTTATAATTAAATTAATTATTAATATAACATTTAAATTACATGGAAATGCTGTAAGATTATTTATAAAACTATCGTTACTTATTATAATTTATTATCACATCGTGTAGAACGGGGATGGAAAATTGGTCATGCGTATTAAAAGTTTTTTTTTGATAAAAATGATATATTTTTTAAGTAGCCTATTAAACAGTAGATCTAGAACTTTATTGGAAAAAATACTTAATTGAAAGAAGACGAGAAACCATATTATAAAGTAGGTGCGCCCGTAGCCGCGTCGTGGTTATGGAAAATAATTAGCAAAATAATAAACTAAACGTAAAATTTTTATGTTAGGGAACTTCTGTGGTTAAAAAATCCGGAAAATGGGGAAAATATGTATAAATTTGTAGGTAAAAAATCTATGAATTAAAAACAATTGATACATCTTAAAACCGATTAAATTCAATATTTTATTAAATTGTACAACGACTATTTACATTATCAGATGCTGGGCAATGTGGTGGTGTTCCTGTGCGTTAACGTCGTGGGTGCGCTTATGCATTCACTCATGGAGACAGCTCAGAGGCGCGCCTTCCTTGACACGCGTAACTGTATCGCAGCTCGACTAGACATGGAGGATGAAAACGAAAAATTGGTAAAGCCTTTAATACTTATAAAGATTGGCAAAAGTATTACCAGTTGTTTTTAAATACAATCCAATATGTATCCCACATGGTGGTGGGGTCAGCCTTTCTTATTTTTCTTCTCCACTTCACTCTATCGGAGACATCGTAAGTAGGTAACATACTAAAAGGACTAATTACTTTCAATGTCTACAAAAACCGATGTGCTATAAATATTAAATACGAAAAATAACAACGAAAACAGAGTAGGTACCTATTATCTTTTAATCTGCTGAGAGTATGCTCTTAAAAGAAAACTAATCGTCATCCTTAACGAGTGTTTGGTTCGGAGATGTATAACAAAAGTTCACCCAGACCACGACTATTTGAACTCGTGCTCAGTGTAAATATTTACCTCAACGGAACAAGTCAGACTTGGAGTACAAAGTACGCTATTATTGTCACTGAAATGAAGTGTACACCGACGTCAAGGAAAATATGCCATGAAGTACAACTTTTAAAACCAGTTTAAATTGGCAATTAACAGGGTATTTGTACAAGTAATTATAATAATTCTAGTGTAGACTAAGAGAATCTAGGCATATACGATATGAGTGACGTATTGACAATACAGATAGTATGTGCTCTATCAGCTCTACCTACTAACTGGCTGTCGTGGATTCAACTCTACAGACGAATGTTTGTATATAATATTAACGTTTGTCTCATTTTGATTAAGACAAAACATGTACGTACATATGTATGTATTCAGCCCTTTTTAACGTCCCACTGCTGGACACGGGCTTCCCTTCAGTACGAGAGGGATCAGGCCATAGTTCACCACGCTGGCCAAGTGCGGGTTGGCAGACTTTACATGTCTTTTGAAAACTTGCTAAGTTCTCTCAGACATGCAGGTTTCCTCACGATGTTTTCATTCACTGTAAGGCAAATGGTAATCATGTTAGAAATGATTCGCACATGAAAATATCAGCGTGCGAGACTCGGAATTTGAACCCTTCACTCGGTTTCCCAAGCGAGCGCGTTACCACTGGGCTACCATTGCCTTTTTTTAGACAAAACATGTCGTTATATATTGTTGTTCTGACAAAGGCGTGAATGTTCTTTATGCCGACGCTGCGAAGGGAAGGAAAGTGTAAAAATAATGAAAAATAGTATTACATAAGTAAAATATAAATACAAAAATGTTTTAAGTAATGGGTGCTATTAAGTTTATATAGTAGACTATTTTCAACAGGAGCGATTACTGTTATCCGTACTTCCGCAACACGTCGCTATGGAGATGAAAAACGACATAATATCGCCCGTCGAAGGACAATTTCACAAGATATATATTCAAAAGCATGAACAAGTTAGGTGAGTTGCAAATTTTTTTTATCGTAATAGTATTGTTTTTTGTAAATATTGTGTACATTTCATTTTATTAATATTATAAAATTAACAATTTTATAATGATATTGCCAACTACGCTAAATTACTTGTAGTTGGCGATGTATCTTATCTGGACATTGCGGTTTTGGCCTGCCTCCAAATTGAACTAGAAATGACTCCTCTCGACTCAATAATCTCCCTTCATTATTGATTAATCTTTATAGACGCGCTAATCGACACGTTTAGGTCAATATGTTCTGTTGCAACCATTATGGATCAACAAAAACATATACATATTTATGAAGACCAAATTGAGTAACTTTATATTCAAAGTATTCATGAATTATTCGTGGAGAATAATGTTAATGCCGCTGTGTATGGAAAGGGATAATTTAAAACAGAACCCGAACCATATAGAAATCGAAACGCAAAATCTGAAATGGTACAAGGTTAAATGACACGTAGAATATACAGTAATTCTATGACTGAGATATATCTTATCGATTTATTATTGAAGAATATATATAATGCTTTTTCACACACGCAAACACACTTACGGTCTGCGTAAAGGATAAACTTTTACCCGGGCGTAGATCTTTTGCACGTACGCGGTTGCTACACGACTGGTGTAATTTCAGTTGAGTATAATGTAAAACAAAAAATGTAACACCAAACGGCTAAAAACGTACGAAATATTTTAAATATTTTACATTAAGTTCAAAAGCTTTGCACTTAAATATGGTAAAAAATTTAGCTTGGTAAACATTTAAAAAAGCCTTATTCATGCGGAGTCGTTTTATACTGCATATAAATAAAAGAAATCCACGCAAAGTACTAGTATATACATGTTTGCGTTTTCTTGGATGCAAAAATATTACCTTGTATGTATGAAGTAGAAAGAACATAGACTTATAAAATTTTAAATTAGTCATAAACTTATTGTGTAAGGATTTAGTTATTGAATATTTTTTTTCATTTATAAATATATTTTGATTCATTGATGTAAAACGACCGTGCCCACGTCCGTGTCAAGGATTTCGTTTAACGCAATAGAATACTATGAAACAGCTGCCATGATGGATGGTCACCAACCCGACCGTCTGAACAGATTAAAGCCACAGTATCGTTAAAATGTCGTGTAAAGACAGAATCGTCATAGTACCCTTTACAGGGTAACGGTATACATATAGGTATGTTTGTATAAAAAGGACGTAACAATACATTAAAACACAAGAAATTGTAAAAACATAACGTAGGTACTTAAATACAATACAGAGCATACATATTGATGGACGACTATTTTCTCCCAATAATCTTGCCTAAGTAAAGCATCCGAAAATTTCTATTCCGTAAACGCCTTAATCCTTAAGAAAATATTTCTACTCAATTATGGAGGAAAATAAGTCCAGCTTAATTCACTGTATCGTCACTCGTCAGGGTGATGTGTGGCGTCTCGGCAGGCTGATGGATTAATTTGTGTGTAGTTGGATGTCATTGTGACATATTGCTTTTTCACGCGGCCATGACCTGTTTATTGCTTTTTAAGTTTGGATATATTGTACCCATCGTCTTGCCGGTTTCGACAGATTATATTAGGCACTCATTTAAAAAGGAGTAGTTAAAATAATATTTCCAATAAAAAGAAACAAATACATCATTGTATTTTTAGGGTTCCGTAGTCGTCAAGGTACCCTTATAGTTTTGCCATGTCCGTCCGTCTGTCCGCAGCTTAGCTCAGAGACTATTAGAATTAGAAAGCTATAATTTGGTATGGTTAATATATATTAGTCATAATTTTTCGTTAAAGAACCCGTTTGTAAAATATTAAGCTTTAAAGTGCTAATTTTTGTTAGAGTTAAGTGCCCCACTCTCCACACCCTGCCAGCTAAATGGTTGTTTTTGGATACGTGAAACTTTCGTATAAAATCCATTGAAAATTACTTATATAATGTTGTTGGTTGTAAATCAGGTAGTCAATATAAGTTTATGGACCATTGTAAAAATATACAAAAATAAAATCATAATGTTCTTACAAAAAGCTCCCTCTTAGTCTTAGTCCGCGTTATTGTGATGGGCAACTACAAAACCCTACATTGCGCGTGGCCCCACACGCACTTGCTTAGTTTTTATAGGATTTAAATTTATATAATTTTGCTATTCTGACTGAATTTTATCTAGTTAAGACCGATTTACCGAAGTGACATTATGTCTGTAGTGTTTTTAGTAAATCGCAATGGTCGTTATAAACTTTGGATCGTCTCTTCAGATTCGTTTTGTCGCTGACAGGCGTCGTGTTCACGTTCTTATCGTTGACTAATTACTTGCTAGCCATTAGAACATTTACTATGATTATTTAACTATACATACTAGATACATACACATTCATACATACTAGATATTTTCTGGAAATGCTTATTACATTATATGGGTACTTTGTTATCGTTGTAATCTGTCTTTAAGTTACCAACTATTGTCTTATGTCTATATATATATATATATATATAATATATATATATATATATATATATATATATATATATATATGTAAATTTGTATACATTTCGAGAATTCCTAAACAATAAATCAATGAGTTAAAAATAAAGAACATATAAAACATTTATTACTCGTATGGGTACCATAGTGATTGATGTTCACTACGCCAATGGTATTCATTTTGTTAGACCTCTATATATGTATATCATGACTCATGTCTTAACAAATTACAGATTTATGGATTTTATACTGAAATAATTAGAAATTAATTTTCTTTTTAAAGCTATTGGTTAGTTATTCAAAGAAAGTAAGATAAATTTTACCCATTTATGAAGAAGCAAAAGGACGATTACGACTTAAGTTGGCTCATGTAAGGATTGTGTTCGTTAATTTTTTTCATTTATTTTGTAGGACCTTTTAAATTATTTATTTAATAATTGTCAAAAAAATTTTCATTTTATAATTTATATGTTTATCCATGCAATAATTTTTAACAAAAAAACTTTTAAATAAGTTTAAAATAAACTTTATTAACTTCATTATGTTTGATAAGGTACAATTACAATCCATTTCTCACTCCATACAGTATGTGTCACGAGTATAGATATTTGATTAAGCGAATAAGGTTACCTATATAGGGATATTGTAATCTTATTTCCTTTATCTCATTTTATTCTGTCGTTTTGAATTCTATTTTTAAAATAATACACATTCTGCGAAGCGAAGTGATGCTTTTTCATTCAAAATGAAAAGCAATATAAATATTATATCGCTATTTTATCTATATGTAGTATATAAAATTAGGCTTAAATAGAAATAAAAATAAATAGAAATAAATCGAAATTCGATCATTATGAATGATAAGTATGTGAGTATTGGCGATAGTCACGTTAATTACCTGCCACAGATTGGCGTCAATACGTCGTTTACTGTGGGTGATTTATTCTATGATGAAGTACTAAATACCGTGTAATTAACACTTGTTTTAACATTTTAGCGTACAGTTTTACCATTCTTTGAGGTAATACAAAAAAAACAGATTAGTATATCTTAAGTATGAAGAAAGAACGATATTAACTTCATCTAATTTAGAGAAATTGACTGGAAATTTCGATTTTTTCTATTATATAAGTATTAGAAAACCTATTTGGGTATTTTTAAATACGACATTTGAATAAAGATGATTCAATGAAATTAGCGAAGCCAGTCACCGGTACTTATAGTTAATCGGATGAATCGCCGAGTGCATTTAGTTAGACTCAGGATATTTACTCGCTACTTTGTCTTGAGCTAATATTAACTGCTAAACCGTCATCATGTGGAATGCATTCGAATAATTTAGCATTATATTGATATTTATATATTTTAGAGCGCCAGGAAATACTTTATTTACATCCGTTTTTTATCAACTAGAGTGTTTATTAAGTGTCTAGTTCGTTGCCAATCAACTGCGATTCGTGTCGGAAATGTAATTTTGCCTTCCAACGCTTTTTTCTTTCATTTGCTCGCAGTGTTGTCAGTAGACAACTCAAGTGCGCACATCCTTTGTGTGAGTTCATTAATGTTCGAACTTTCCTCCACCAGTTCCTGTCTTTGTTGCTTTGATTATAGGAGCGTCATAACTCTGAACCAATAAAATGGTGCAAATAAAATAAAGCATCCTTAACAGTTACAAAGTCGGTACATTATCTAGATTTGGGTTTTAAATTTATAAAGAAGCGACTTACTCTCGCTTCGCGCGATGTTTCTGGGGTCTTATGCGCTACTCCAAAACATCGTCTCCCGTGTAAAAATTTTTATCAAAATCTATCCAGTGGTTGCAACGTGAAGGAGAAACAAATTTATACAAACATATAAACTTTTACATTTAAACCAATAGTCCGATTAAGAACATTAAAGTTTACCAGCATTTTTTTAGTTTTATTTTTCAACACAAGGTATTTGGGGTTATAAAAAATATAAACAAGCTGCTTCAAAATATTATTGTGGCTGTTATATTTGTATCTTAGCCTTGAGCAATATTAAAATAATACATGACTAGCAGACATGTCAACCCACGTCTTAGAATTTAATAGGGGTAGTTGAATTATTATGTAATTGGAACATTCTGCAACAGTGACATATAAATTAACAGTTTGTTCATATTAAATTTAATATCATTTTTATAATTTACAGTAGCTTTCACAATAGAAATGTTTGGATTTTAAAGTAAAGAAAGTTAATAAATGACCAATATATATTATTGTCTCGGGGTCTGGCGCCTAAGTTACTAAAAAGTTCAAAGATTTTTTTCTTTAAATTAATTGGATTATTTAAGGAAAATTTGTTTGAAAAGATTACAACAAAAGTTCTCAGCAACAGTATTCGTATGTCATTTTGGCTGTTTACCAAACCTTGTTTCGCAAGAATTTAGTACCTACAAAATATGTTCCTATTAAATTTGATGAGTACACGACTGGGACAGATTATGAGTTATTTCCAAAACAAAGAAA